CCCCGCCTCAGTGTTTTGCATTTGCTGCAGTTTCTTCCTGCAAAACCCCCTTCTTCAGTCTTGTTCCGGTTGCCTTGAATGAGCTTATTTGACAGCTAAAAAACCAAATTATATCGAGGGCTTGCAAATCTGTCCCTCCGCCCTCAAATCAATCCTCTTTCTCACTCACTTTCCCCGTGTCCCCTCTGCATTTCAATCCTTCCACTGCCTACATTGTGAACCGATGCCAAGAGCCAAGGCAACCAGGGCTGTTACATGAAAGAGTTGCTTTATGTCTGTTTAAACTGCAGCGTCCTATTCGAATGGACCTTATTGTTCAAAGGCGCAGGTCCAAATACAAAAGGATCGGAGAGCAGGGTACCGCACTTCACGGCTCCATACGTCGGTTTGCCCTTACGTAGCTATTCACCTCAAAAGAGTCGCCCCCACCCCAAAATCCCATTCGGCTGAAGATGTGACTTGGTTGCTGCACACCAGCAGGGAAGAGGCTGAGCCAAAGCCAGCCAGCCCTGCATCAGGAACAATCCACAGGCATAGTAACGTCAAGGAGACACAATCCCACTTTATTCCCAGTTAATAAAATCATATTTATTTCAAATCAAGGGTTTCCTCCTCAAAACCACTAAGGTTTAGGGTCTAACTCTCACAAAAAGCCTGCATTTATTTGCTAAATGGACGAGACTGATGAATGCAGCAGAAACCATCACCGCAATCGCCCACTTCGATTACAACCCGTCTCTAACACGGAGGCACTTGCAGGTTCTGCTTAACAGCCCCTTTCTCACCCCCACCACTCCCTTCGCTTCTCGCCTTGCAAAATTACCTCTCTACTACAAGAGAAATCCTGCCTCGGTGTGAGCACCCACCAGGAGACAAATTCTGCTCTGCACTGCCACCCGCAGCCAGAGCCCGGGCTGAAAGGAGCCCGCCGCCTTCAGACTTCACTGCCTTCCACATTCTCTGCAGATATTTAGCAGACTTTTTCATATTCCATTTATCACCCAGTACCTCAGCCTCCCTGACAAAACAGTCTGATCCATTTTGCGATTCCTCCAAATCAAATGAACAATAGCGATTGCAACAGCCCCGAGTTCCAGTTTAACCCCTGGAGCCCAGGGCCGGTCACAGCCATGAACCAAGCCCTCACAACAGCTTCTTGGAGGAAGAGAAACAGACTGTAAAAACAAGGACTTGTTAAACAGAGCAAGTGCCAAAACCTGGTTTTCCCTCTAGTTTTGACAGAAAGCTGCATCCACAGGGCTCTCCTATTTCTCTCTCCCTCCTCTCCCCTACATGCACCATGGCCCAAAGAGTGCAGACAGTACCCTGGCTCACAGATAAAGCCACCCTGGTGATCCGAGGAACTACAGAAGGCATTCACACTGGGAGCATGATCATGTTCCCTAAAATTTTAAGTACCACAATTAGTAATTTGGTATGGGGAAAAAACCTGAAACATCTTAGTAAATGCCACCTGATTTATTTCATTTATTCTCTCTTAACCACATATTATCACTATTGGTGGGAAAAGAGCATTTATCTGGGCATAACCACAAGTTAAGAGATAGCTATGAATAATATCTCTATTAGCAAGAAAGTGCGGTCACTATTTAACCGACATGACAGGAGAGTCCAGTTCTGGATTATCTGAAAAGAGATAAGTACAGAGCCAAGATCTTAGTGTACAGTGTAATGATTTTGGTAGCAAAGAACTCAGTACACAGCTGTTGCATCTGAAGGTGTGCATATATCTTTTACATTTAAAAAAAAATCCTTTGCCTTGTATTTTCACTCCTAGAGCAAGTTTTATAGCCCAGCACCCAAAATGCCAGAGGATCTTGAAAAGTAGCAGTACCAAAGCAAAATTCTGTAGCCCTGATGCCAAAAAATATGCAAGCTCCAAAACTGAGAACAAGTTCTTTTTCCATTGCAGTGGAAGGGCTTACAAGGGGGCTAAAGATACTCTCTCCCTCCATCAGAGGGGCAGAATGCCACTGCACTTCTGGAAACATGGAAAAGTTACAGAAGCTCATGACTAGAAAACGTGCAGTAGCAGCAGCCCTGTGGGCCCAGCTAACCTAGGTGGCACGCAGACCTAGAGACTCACAGCATGAACAGAAGGCGGCCAAGCGCCAAGTAGAAAAAAGGTTCAGCTATTGAGAGATACAAGTCAAAATTAGTCCCTCCTCCTCTTATCTCCTGATAGAGCAGACTTCTGTGCAACTTGCTGCAGAGGGTGGATCTAGAGTGGGCTGTGAAGAGTTTCAGGGTCACAAACTGCTCAAGCAGGGATGGAATGTATTGCTAGATGGGCCTCAAACAGGGATGATGCTGCTCCTCCTCTTTGGGCTGTGGCAAAACCAGAGTAAATGCTAAAGCAGGAACACCCCTTCTTGTCTGCGCTGCTTCCCTCACACAAGGCCTCTGCTCTTCATCTCATGTCAGTGGAAAGATGAGGGACTGAGGGCAAGAGAATGGAAAAGGACCCAAGGGACAGTCCTCTGCACTCTGCAGGGCTCAGCTGCCTGCAGACACAGGAGAAGTGATACCGAACTCAGGCGCAGGGAGGCAGGGACAGCTGAATGCTGAAGACTGGACTCTGTTTAGAGATTTATGCCAGAAAACAGTCTCAACCATGTGAAAGGACACAACACTACCATTTCCATACCTGCTGCTGGAAGCCCAGTGGACATTTCCAGCTGTTACCCTTCCTGCCAGCAGCCAGACCCCATGGTTCCATGGTTGCCACGGCTCTTCATTACCAACACAAACCACCTCTTTCAAAAAGACCGTTTGTGAATGCAGAGAGGCTGAAAGATGCTCCCTGGTGGGAACAGGTTTTCAGCTCCAGCAGTAACATCTGAAGGTCCATTCCCACTGGGACCTTTCCCTAGGCACATCTGGATCCACAACAACACTCCCCAGGATGGTTTGGACGAGGCCTGCCACGAGATCTGGAAACGCGTTCAACGACTCTCTGAAGAGCTGCAGCCCCCATCGTTGGTGCCACCGCTGCCGTATGCTCTCTGCTCAGACCTGTCAGGAACCCTTCAAAGAGACAGCATCAACTCCCAGAGCAAGTAAGTGATCTTTAAGTGTTGCCCAAGCTCTAGGGAAAAAACTGCTGCTTTCCTTTTTACACCTTTCCAAACTAGACTTTTGTAACCTGTTGCCATGAAAGCCTGGGGCACAGGGTACATCGATTGCTGTCTGACAGCCTCCTAATGATGCAAGTTATTCCCACTTTTTCCACTATAACCAATTTTCTTTGGGAAAAAGTGTGTCCCATGAAATCTGACTACTTCAAATTCTGAAGCACCATAAGCAGCTGCTGCATTCGCTTCCCCACAACATTTAAAGAAAAACAACCACACACACATCAAAATATTTACAGGAAGAAGTGAAAGCAGCATTCAGAGGAGCAAAATCGAAAATTAAAGTGTTATAAGGAAGCTACTGTAAACAGCTGATCTTTACAAAGAAAAGCTGAATTTAGCACAGAAAAATTTATGCCAAATCATGTTTCACAGGACAAATAATGGTAAGAGAGGAAAGTACGCTCTTCAGATTAATAGGATAATATTTACTGTATGGTCCTAAACCAGAAAAAGTAAGATTTATAAATCCAGCTAAAAATCAGCAGGCATTAGCACATGTCCAGTTCTTAGAAGTCCGAACAAAACATCATGCAAATCTGGCCCATCTTGCTTGGTTAAAGAGTTACCTCGTCTTTAAAAAAGATAACTTCACAGATGAGGAAACAGATAGAACATTTTACAGATGAAGACATGGAGGCACAGAAGGGGAGGTACCTAACACTATGTCAGGTAGAAACCTAGGAATTACGTCTTGGTGTCCTGGCTCCTTTCCTTTCTCCTCCATATCCTAAAGAAGCCAAAAATCTTAAGAGTCCTCAGAGTAAATGCAGGAAGAGGGAAACCAGGTAAATCAAGAATAACCCTTGAAGCCCATGGAGCTGCCTGTAGTGGTAGGTTAAATTATACAGCTGAAATATCTTTACAATTAGCACGCATTCAGTTAGCCTCATAGTTTGGTCCTGCCAGTTGCTAAGAAGTCTTAGGTAAGAAGGCATTATACAAACCAGTGAAACACTATTAACTACTAACAATCTTAATTGTATTCTTTAATAACATTTTTACTCTTAAAGGAATATAGATCTGGTCTTCAGCAATGTCTACTGCAGCAAGGCCAGCTTAACCAACATGACTTCTAGCCCACACAACCTGGTATTACCCTGAAGCTAGTGCAACAGGCAGAGACAGCAGATCAAAATAGTTCTCGTTTTGCTACTTTACTGTGATGCTGATGAACTTTAGGACCCCTGCGATGAAGGCAGCGGCCAAGACACAACCACAAGGACGCGAGAAACTCAGCAACTTCAGTTTAGGTGAAATTAAAAAGCCGGCAAAGTCCAGTGGCTAAAGTACTATCCTTGGGTTCAGAGTAATGATCCTCTATCATTGTTTATCTACTGAGCTGCCGAGTTACCTTTGGCAACGCATCCGGCCATTTCTCTCGGCAGCATTTTCCTATAATTAGCTAGCAGGCTCTTCAGGATAGAAGTACCCTCTGCACACGCACTCGTACAGCAGAGTACGTTGACCATCAGTTGCTCAAAGACCCCAGAGTTGTTGAACCTTCCAACAACAGCCAAACTGAAGTGCTAAAACCAAATTACTGTACAGAGCTCAATGAACTGCTTTGAAATAGAGGCAATTCAAGTGAGACAGCCCTACGTCAGGTTTCTACCTTTGAGGTAGAAGCTTCCATACCCTACCTTAGCTACCTCTATTACTCCCAAAGACTTACAGACAGATTAAGAAAAATCTTTCAGCATATACCAACTGTCAATAAAGGTGTTACCCAGTTCACCAGCTGCAATAGCATCAGCGGCCAAAGATTATACCATGTGACCTTGCTCAATTTAGCAATCCTTAATTATTTTTAAGTATTGACTTATGCAAATTGCTAATATGCTCATTTTAAAATGTATCTGGAATCTCTTGAACAAACAACAACAAGTTTCACCTTCCTGTGGATACAGAAGAGCAAGTCACTGAGAACACCCAGAGCGGGTAGGGACAGGAGGAACCTCTTCTGTTGAGGATGTCACTATTTACCAACATAAAGGAGCTTACATCTTCCATGAGAAGAGGACAAAGCTTCATAGGCAAGCAGAGCTAGGAACACGACATGCTGCATTCACATCTTCAAACATATTCCAACACAGGACTCCAGTAACCCAATATGTAAGCCCAAGAGGGACACTGCCACCTCAACTCTAAATCTTTCCAACTGCAGTCAGGGCACAAATGCCAACAGGTTGTGCAAAGCAGTAAGAAGGGACCCAAAGAATACATGATTTGAGTAAGAAGTTGCAGAATCAGGGCTGCAGCCTGAGAAGCCATCAGAGTCCAGAATCCCTCTGAAAGATGGGATGAAGAGTTCTATGAAATAAGCTGTACTCAGAAATAGCCTAACAATTTTCTATTTCCATATCCACAGTATAAATCTGTTGAGGTTTTTGTTAGAGAATACCTATGTTCTTCAAAAATGGGGGGGAAGCAGCAACCTACTAATTATAGTGATCCTATAATTAGAGATAATTAGATACATTTACAATTTAGAATTTCCTAATTTAGGTGTTTATGAACCATATATGTATCTATATAGTGCATGCACAGAGCATCAGTCTTTCCCTCAAGCTAAGAAGAGTAAATTGATAACACATTAAGTTATTGAACATACTTGGATGTGAAAGAGCAAACTGGAATTTAAATTGGTGTTTTGAGTAGGTAACCACAATAGGCACTAATCGGTGTTTTGAGCAGGTAACCATTATAGGTACTTAGGTGTGCCTTAAAAGAACACAAAATTGTTCAGCTTTGACAGCAGTTCCACTGTAAAGTCCCAGAGGACTTTGGGGGGTATAGAGGTGCTTTGTGATGCACCCTACAAATCAAACCATCTGACAGTCTTATCTCCCTATATGAAAGATGGTTAATGAGCTACAAATACTACAACACCCAGCCCTAAGGTTAAAGCCTTACAGGTGATACCTGAGTTGTGATGACAGGTAAGTCCAAGGAAATTCAGGCCCTCACCCTGCAAAGATTTAAGGATCCACTGAGCCCTGAAGGCTGAAACCATGCAAAGCTGGAGCCTGGAGAACAAACAAGGTTTCTCCCATTAGGGACACTGAGATACAAAAGAAAATTCTTTTCATGTCCAGAACCATGGGGTTCAATTTACCATCTTTGACAGATGACACGAAAACCACCACAGGGCTTAGCTGCGTAAGGCTTCTGCACTTTACAAACTCTTGTGAAGATAACTTCAATAACGATTACCAACTGCTCTAATAATACAGCACAGGGAACCATTTAGTTCTTCCCTGTGGCAAGTGTAACCCAGCCGAAAGCATGTTTAACTCATTCATACCCACTGCCATCAAAGAATCTTGTCTGACATAAAACGCAGATTTTGTTTAAATCAAATTATATTTTGACCCACATATATTTTTAAGTATATATGCTATAATTCTTTGCACACCTATAATGCTGTCATCCAACTTCTGTTGTTCTTGGATAGATGCATTAACTAATTTAAGAATTTTTTTTCCCCTTTTATGTGATTCTTTGGAAAAGAACAGTGTCAAACACGACATTTTATTCTGGTTAAGAAGGAATACTTGAGTCTTACATAGAACACTAATAAAGTAGAAATGCAAGGTTTAGGAGGAGTCAAGAAAAGTAGCTCAATTTTAAGTCATACTCCTTTAACAGCAGCCATATTCCACTTTCTTACAGCAACTACTTGCTAGATGAACCAGACGGACTCGAAAGTATATACAGAGCAATGATTGGAAACAAAGAGAGGGAGATGAAATTAAGAGCTCTCTGTGACACTCAGCTTTCTGCTAAACCCATTATCACCAGCCTTCTGTGTTCAGCAAAATCCCACAAGAATTCCAAGGGGCTGGAGGATGGCAGCGTGACAGGCACTCACAACGCAGAGGGCAGCAAGCTAGAGGTGCCATTTCTACCGAAATACACAGACACTGCCAAAGGTGCAGGCAATGAGGTAATGGCTGAGGAAACAAAGGTAGTGAAGGAGTTCATACAGAACAGCATGTTCAGCTCTGCCATGAGTAGTACAGCTGTGTCACCACCACCAACAGCAGAAAGTCAAGCCACAGGACAGAAGCAGCAGCTCCCACCATTTGCCAAGATTTACTCCAAAACCGACTCCGATGCAGTCACAAATAATCCAGGTATGGATCTGGGCATGGTCCTTGAACATCAGCTGGCAGTCATGGGAAAACTAAAATGTAAACCAGAAGCTGCTGAAAAGCAGATGGCAGGAGCCAGTCAAGCATCACTGCAGCACTTGCTCTATGGTGATGTCCTTTCCAAGCCTTGTGTAATAGACTGAAAACTACTGAGCCATCCTTTTCCATTCAAGAATTCTCATTTTATACTAGGGCACTGGTATCTCCCTCCCCTCTAACCAGCACCTGTCCAATGTCCTCTCACATGTTGAAATAGAGTAGATATAGGAAGGTCATGACCATGGAGATTTATGCATTTGGTCAGTATTTTCTAGAAGCTAGTTTTTTTGGGTTTGGGGTGGAGGTTTTTTTGGAGTTGGGGGTTTTTTGTTGGTTTGGGTTTGTGTGTTTTTGGGGTTTTTTTGTAGTGTCATGATTTTTGGGTTCCCAGTGCAAGACATTTAAGAGATCCCGATTTCCACAGAGTATCGATAACTACATTCCCTGAAGCATCTTAGATTAGACAAAAACAGTGGTGTATGGATCTACTGTTTCAGCTTCTGGACTAATTTATCAGTCTGGAGACTTAGGACACAATCAACTTACTCTCTGCTGCAATTTCCTTATCTCAGAGGATTTTGAACTTTGGGCAAAGGTTCTTGTTCTATTCTTACAATTTCATTCGTTCTTATGGCTCAGGCAATTAGCTTTATTCCAGGTCCCATGGGTCAGAGTTTGATGGCCCTACAAGTGAATTTGAACTGCTAATTGCTGAGTTTGGGTCTCTGTGTTACAGAACCTTAGCCTGCAAAAGTAATGGATATCTTGAACAGATTTTGCTTACAGGCAAAGCATGTCCTCTTAATCGCAAGTGTTCCACAGATTAATGAAGAAAATGCATGTTTATTAATATCTTTAACCTTGTTTTGTTTTACAGTAACTACTGCAACATGGGATAAAAAACATGTTAAATACAATCCAAGTACTTCAGGCTTTACTACTACTTCAGTGACCACACCATTAAATCAGCCAGTGTGGCAGAGTCTGAGCTTCCCTCCACTTCCCATCTTTCCCAACCACTCAAACTTTCCACAGTTTCAGGTAATGTCACACACCCACATTTTGTGAGAAGGTAGAACACTCCCAAGCCTATTTCGACAGACTCAGGGCACTGCCTGCTGCTGTTTTGACAGCTGCTTTCCGATTTGTAGAGTAGAGTAAGAAACCAGGTTGCTGTCCTACTACAGTAAGTTATATTAAGTGGCTCTGGGTCATAAACAAAGCTTTAATAGCACATGTAATGCAGTCCTCTGAGATGGTTGCGATGATATCAAAGGATGATGTATTATTGACACAGATACTGAATGTTGACCTCTCTCAGCCTTCATTAGTTTCCATTTTCACCTTGTATTTACAAATATTTCACCTTGTATTTACAAATATTTCATGCAATTGCCCTGTTTACAGACTGGGATACTGCTTTCTTAGTCTAGTGAAACAGGACTTCATATCAAAGTAAAAAAGCCAAATACGATTAGGAAGAAGCTGAATGTTCAAGTTGAAATAAATAAAAGAATGAATACTGGGAATCTCATGTAGCCATAGCTTTTTATGGGCTATGCTCCCCTAGTTCCCTTTGATTCTGCAAAAAAAAAAAAAAAAATCCACAAAAACCACACCAGAAACAAAGCTATGGTTCTCTAGCAGGATTCAGCTCATCCTACAAGCTGACAAAAGTTGTCACCAACCTGTTATAAAAGACAGGGTGGAGACACATGACCCAGAGCACACGTGTTTTGCCAGACTGAGCTCCCCTGGAAGCTTAAAGTCCAAGAATTTTCACTTTTTCCACTAAGTCAATGCTTAGTTAGCACAACAGATACCTACTTAGCGTAAGATGAGCCAACAGCCCATCCACCTCTCAGCAGTCAACAGGGAACTGAACTTCTCCCCAGGCAGAACAGAGCTATAGAGTGGAAAGCAGACTCCTGTTCCGGAGGTGTCCAACTTAGGGAGACAAAGAGAAGACTTTTGCCCAAAGCCAAGAAATATACTTATCTCAACCTGGTTTCTTTGAGCATAGCATCCCCCTAAAAAGCTTATGCAGAAGTAAATAATGGACCAACCCAGACTGTTTTAAAAATCATGCCTTACATATGCTTAACAGGGTCCGTATCATCAGAGAGCAATGATCCCCTATCAGCCAGCTCTGCACCCTTCCTTTGGATGCTATTCAAGACAGGTGCGTTTAAATGGTTATGAATATGCTTTAATTTGCAGAACACAGATGCTAAGCACAATAGATTAGTCAGAGCAGTTTGTCATGTGCCAAGATTGACATTGGTGCCATTGCAAAAATAGATTTGGGGACGAGATGCTGACGAGATGTAAGTTAATACAGTCTGCTGGATCACTACGTGCTCCAAATAGCTCAAGAGATGGCCTTGAGCCTCTAACTGAAAACATTTCTTGCTTATGCTCTAGTTTTGTATAAAATTGGGAAAGACCACTGTGTGTGTCTGAAAAAAATATCTTTTGACAACTCCAGTTTCTACTTATGGGGTTACTGCCTTGTCAGTATTCCTGTCCCACTTTTTTTTTTTTTTTTTTTCCTCTTAACGTATGCTATTTCTTTTCCCTCCTCAGGTAGCTCCACACAGCCCACAGCAGATTTTCCAGCCACCTTACCCTCCGATGTTAAACTACATCACCCTGGTTCAGCCTGGTTACCCATACCAGCACAGTACCCCACCTACACTATCCAGCAACATCCAGGATCTAATGGCAGGCGATGGGATCCAGTATCCATTCTCTCCTTCCTATGGGTATGGCCATGCAGATCTGCTTTCTATTTTTCCAGTACTTTAGGGCAAGTTTGTTAGTTGCTGTAAACCTGCACAGAGCTAAAGATTTAATTGGCAGTTGGGTTTCCCAGTTACTTTCTCACCAAATTCCAGATCTGAACAAAAAGACAAGAATTACTCTAAGGTCTAAATTCTAAAGTAATTGTGATACAAACCCGGAGTAATTAGTTTTGGGTGAATGAAGCTGAAACACTGTGCTACAGGAGATGCTACCTACAACTTCCACTCATTATTATGGGTAAAAATTATGAACAATTTACCAAAAATAAATATTTCAACATGATAGAAACCGAAATATTTTGACACTGTCAGAATGAAATTAAAGGATTCTGTTTAATACCCTTCTATAAAAGCTGTAGTTAAAATCAACATATTCCAAGGATCTGGTAAAATAATCTCTGGAGATTCCAGTTCTATATATAATTTTCTGTTAAATGCTTATGGGATAGACAGGAATAGCACATACTTCTCCCCTAGATCACCTTCCCAGAAACCATATTACACATCAAAAAAAAAAGCAGATAAATGCTTCTAAGAGCTCCATGATTAGGAAGAAAAAAGTAATTTAGAAGTTAGATGTAATCTCCTGAAGCTTGACTAAATTTCATTTTCTGTTTTAGGTTTGGTTCTACACCTGGAGGAGCTGTGACAACTAACCTCAACTACTTTTCCAGTGAGAGCTATGTAAAATTTTAAGTGAACCCAGTTTTCCTATCCTAGTATTCAGAGAAAAGCCTGCTATCTATCTATTATAAGTCCTAGGGTGCTATAAGGATTTCATGTTTTCCCCAAAGTGAACATTTCCGTCTAGAATAATCCCCTATGATTTACAGAGTAAGAAACAACTGCATGACAATTCATCTGAAATAATTTTTTTTTTAGGATGACAGAATAAGAAGGGGCTTTTTTGTTTTGGAAGATGGAGACAAATAATAAAAATGTTTTATTTATGACAAATGCCTGAGCTGCTTAGAATTGATTGTTGGTGCAATAACGGTGGTTGATAGAAAAGAGTCTTGGCTGCAAGTTTCAGAGATAGTAACTTTAGTTGTATATTCAAAATGAGAGTAACACAAATTCATTCAATATCTGGGTGGTGCAGCTCCACACATGACATGTTCCTGTCTTATTACCTCAAACTCTAATGCTAATCCAGATGGTAATCTGATTTTTAGTACTAAAGAAGAAGATCGAGCCATAAAGCTTGTATGAAGAATGCTGTTCAACTACATTCCTTTGGTTATTTAACTCAGGAGTTTCAAGGCTCTCACTTTTGACAGTGAGCCTTTGCCCCTGCAAAATAGCTTCTGCTTTCTCTGGAGCCTGCACCACTACTGCAAAGCCAGAGCAGCAAGGCTTCCTCTAGACAATGAATATGGCTATTTGTCTGCTGTATTTCAGCCAGTTTGTGGGTCAGAAGTAGAAAAGTGATTGCATGGGATTCTACAGCCTGCGTGATACACGTCAGAACAAATTACCACAAAAGTCTCTCCCAGCCTTAAGACTAGTGAATAAGGTCTCAGTCACAAAGATCTGTCAGTTTGCAATCATCCAGCCCTACACCCAGCAGCATGCAAGTCAGACTGCTCTTAAATTCCAGGAGACATATTTATACTTTGCTTAAGAAGGATACTGCACCCATACAAGTCAAGATGTGAAATTAACTTTTTACACTGCTTAACAAAAGCCTGGGTATTTTGCAAATAGTTTAAGTCCTACAAAGTGTAGAGCACCATTCATTCCTGGAGGAGCCAATGGGACCAAATATGCCTAACCTCTGTAGGCAAAGTAATTCGTAAGAGGACAGCCTTCAATAGTGGCTCATAATTCAAACAAAATACAGAGCATCCTTCCATTCACTGAACTTTAGACTTGGCCCCAGATAAACAAACACCAGATTTTTTTCTCTCCTGCCAGTAAATAAAACTACTCTTGCAACTTTAAAAAAATTTAGCTCTTCTTTCCCTTTAATTCTGTTTAATGTAAATAGTACAACTTAAGTTGCGTAGACTTATCTGAAGCTAGTAAAGAATTCACATGGATTATGTTTACTCTTCTAAGGCTGATAAACAATCTTGCAGTGATCCTTCAGGTGACATTTTGCACATTATAACTAGTTTACTCCTCTTCTCACTGTTCCTCTTCCCACATTGCATCAACATCTATTTTGGGTTACCCAGATGGCTGAGGTGATCTAGGACAATTTATAATGAGAAATTCACGGTTTGGCAAGATGTGCCCACTAGCCCTTTTTTCTCCACATACTGCTGTAGGCCAAAATTTCAACTAAGATAAATTAGACAAGCAATTAGGAACCTCTAGTGTTTCCACAAAGCATCAACATTCTTCACTCTCCTCGCCTTGTGGGTAAGGTGACAGGTTGATAACATAACACAACCTGAAAGACTGTTAAAGTAATACCAAGGCAGCCAGGAGAAATCAAAGCCAAAGCCCATATATTGTTTACAAACTCTCACCAGCGTTAGCAACAATGATCTTACAGTTCCAATGCACTCCATATCCAAAAAGACCAGAAGAGGAGACACACACCAGTATAGAGACCACTTTTGTCATTTCACCAACGCTTAATTTGTTAGCAACAAGTAACCTGAACCAGGTATATCACTATTGTACCACAGTTCAGGCTAGAAATCTGTGTGATCTCTTCAGGGAACTGAGTTTAGCCGATGCAAAAATGAGTTACCTCCAGGGTCCCATGAGGAATGAGGCCATAGGATCATTAAGTCACGAGTTGTCTAAAGCACAGCTGTATCCCTCAGTCAGTAACACTAGCACACTAAGGCAGGACTGCATGTTTTTTCTGCCCAAAATGCTTGCCTTGTTTTCAGCACAGGAGCAAAGGTACCTAATGAAGATGCTTGTCAATTTTTTTTTTTTTCTTCCCCATTATTCAACATGTGGCTGTGGGGCCCAGATATAGCTACAGAAGTATTCCAGTTCTCAGGAGCTTTTTGCTTGTACTTGGAAATCCACAGTTCCAGTTCTCCTGCAAGAGACTGTCCATATCCTCCATTATGTCTGTTAGAGGTTTCCTTTCAAAAGGAATTTTACAGAACAAAATAATTTACTTATGTTTTTCAAAACCTAAACTTGGATCAGAATTTGCTTTGGCTAAAGTCAGATACATTCTGCCCCAGTAAATTCCCATTTTCTTTAAGTAGAATAGAAGCCTGGATTTTTCTGCTGTTAAATCCACTGGCTGTTTTTCTCCAATATTCCTAATGCAATTAGCATAACAAGATAAAGGAATCATCAAGTCCTTTTCCATTTTTCTTCCTTTATAAAAGGACTGATGACAAACTGGGAATCAGAATCTGTATTGAATTACATTTGCCACAAAAGAGTTCATTAAGTAATAGTACGTAATAAAAATCGTCTGTCAACTTGAAGGATAGACCAAATCCACTTAACGAAACAGCTGGTTATTTTCTAGAGCACTCTATAGCTCATAAACGGTCAATATGAGCAAGGAGAAAGACAGAAACAAAGGGAAATAAGGAACAGTTCGGATACTAGCATATTAAGCCACAGTTTCAAGGCTCTTGTCTTCTGCACAGTTGTAGCATGACTGTAGGTAATACTTTGCCCTTGGGTACCCTGATTTCCCCCCCATCATAGTGGTAGCAATAGCTCTTTTTCACCAGGAAAAGGATTATGAGGCTGAGTGCATGACAGACTATGAGATGCTTCAACAGCTGAAGCATCATCAGGCAATCTGAATTTCTATCTTGCTCCAACATATCAAATGGCCCCGATGATGATGGGCTGGGGTAGCATTTCCTGCCCCCAACTTCCACGCACAAGGCTGAAGCTGCACTACCGCATCCTAGTGGAAAAGCATCACTGCTCCCAGCCTCCCTTACCAGGCAATTCAAATGTAAAGATGCTTCTGACTGGCAAAATTTGTACTCTCAGCAGCAAATCTGGGAAGAGAAAGCAGAAGGATCAGTGCTAGTCCTTTGCTGTAAACAAGCCATATTGGCTCCTAACAGAAAATTTGCCTCCCTTTCCACATTCAGCTCACTCACTGAATAATCCAAATCCATGCAAACCATCTGCACTGCTCTGGCTCAAGGGATTTGTTCCAAGATCCTAGAGGCCCCTTAACATGCCACTTTTACTGTAGGAGTACTACAGGTAACATCCAGTGCCAGAGACAGCTTGTTGGGAGTAAAGGTCATCCATGACATGGCATTGCTATGCACCTCCGGTGCCCTTCTTGCATGTATTTAACACAACATAGTCTCAGAAGAGCAACCCTTCTTAAAAAGGGTCAGTTTCATTTTAAGCTTGTTGACTCTTCACCATTTATAGATTTATTGCAAGACACATTCTTAGTGGTCCTGTTCTTCCACATATCTACAAAAGTTTTAGACAGCAGATTTATACAGTGCTTTAATAAAGTCTCAGAAGAGAATGGATGCTGAAGCCCTATTGCGGCCTATACTTGACTGCACACTAGATCCTTCTCAGCCAATCAACTAAGCAAAACTAGTTACGATTATTAGAAAAAATCCATTATGCTGTTCTGAGAGTCTCACATTGCAACACAGTCAGGATGGAAGCTCCAGGCCCAGCATGGTGATGGTCATGGTGGAGTCAGCCCAGCTGTACCTCCAATCAATGCAGAACTTTAGAGCTTTACAAAATTTGAAAGTACAATGAGCATGGATATGCCACCACCATGCCAAACTCCTACCTGCTTTTCTGAAGCAACACTCATGTCCCAGGTCAGCCTTAATGCTTTTGCTTCAAGTCCCTAACACAAGCTTCATCCAGCTTTTCAGAGAACTGATGTACATCGATGAATGCTGTCATAAGAAAAATAAACTTACTATTTCAAGACTCATGAGGCCTGTGTAAGTCAGAAACCCAGAGCCTAGCTGAACATGCTAACAGTTTCCCCTCCTTCCCCTTCTTTAGCTTCTGTCTCCTCAAAAGTATTTTTAAATAGTCTAAGCTTACCCGATTTCCTTCAAAAATCTCAAGATCCATGTTCAAGTTCTATTGATCCCAATTCCTTACAGATGGGATGACAGTGAAAATGGAAACTTTGTATCAGGGGCTTAAAAACTACTTGCCTGTCTCCTACAACTATTATACATAATCATAGCAAAACACAATTCACCTCTTTTGCCCTAGGTCATCTTCTTTCACTGTAAAGGAGGAAACAATCTGGTTTTGCAATTTATACTACTTTACAATGACTCTGTACCATGAAACAATCTGTTTACATATCAATAACTGGAATTATTTTTTAGTACACAAAACCACAATCAGCATGATCAGATTCTCTAGAACTGCCATGTTCATTACCTGCTAGAACAGGGTAAAAATCCTACCCTTGCTGCTCCAGTAAAGGCAGAATAAACTGGAGGATGCAGACATTTGTAGGAGCTGCAGACACCCAGACTTGCAATATTACTTTGGAGACAGAACCACCTTCATCTGCTGGCATGGAACAGTGTTTCTCTCCCTTTCCTCGAAGTCTCACACAGCTTGTGTTGCTACCGCTGCAGTTTTTCCAGAGTTGTAGCTCCAGCTACAAACTTTCACAAAACCAGCTTGCATGGTTCCCAAGTCCATTAAACTTAAGATAATGTGGGGAGAGGGGATTGATTGAATAGCTATTAATCAAAGGATGCATTTTGTTCTTGTGATGT